GGGGAGGGGTGTTGGTTCGATCAGCGGATCTCAGTTAAAAAGGAATACGCAAAGACGAAAGGATTTCCTGATCTAGAATCAATTGTTCAATTTATTAAATATCATTTAGTGGTGTTAAGAGCCTTTCTTTCTGAAACATGATTGCCATTAATAATTATGTTATTACTAGCCCTTAAAATGCCACAAACGCGCGCAACTTCTTCGCTGCTAAGGTAATAAAATAATCAGAAACTTGTGAAGATCCGTGGCAGGGTGATGAGGCTGTATAAAAATGGTTCAAATATGCCTGTCCGTCGCTTGTAGCCCATGGGCTATGTTTTGGACTTTGAAAAGGGTAAAGGGCTTTAAGGACGCTCGAAGACTTCGTTTTTTCCTTGGTCAACATGCTTAAGGCTACGGCAGTGCTGAACACTGCAGCACAAGCAGTAATGTAGAATTTGTCTCTTTAAACTGCTCATCCTTAGTTCCATTTGTCCCCTGGTTGTTACCGCTTACCCATGCGTCAGATGTCCAACTAACTAAAATTGGTGATCAGCCAAGCCCTGATGATGCTACGGTCTATGTAGTAAACGTGTTTGCAATAAATCTTTTACCATTTGCTGTGTTTTGTGCCCTGAACCATAGATCATTCAATCAAATGTGTATCTTAAACGATATTATTACCACAGAGCTCAATATGTAAAAGTGACTAAGCGTTTCTCTTAAAACCAAAACGGCGAAGCTCCTCCATGCATTCATTGTCAGATTAAACGGATAGTCATACCTTCCAAGTGAGAAGTTTCCCCTGCAGGTTGTGTTTCATATGATGCTTCAGGTGCTCGTGCCCTCGCTCGTAGTGCCATGACCATGATTCAGCTATAAAGGAAGAACAGCCTATCCAAAGATAGCAAATGAGGTGCATTTTGTAAGACGATGTCGACTGAGAGCTGAACGAACGTCACTTTACAAACTCGCTCGATCATATTCAACTTCGAGCAACAGGGGACATGGGCAAGAGTCACAAAAGTGTGAATTGTACGGTCTGAATATCGGTAGCCATTCCAAAGAACAGGAAGTAGGGCAGGTAGTGTGTCGTTAGGTTGAAGTGCTGACTTAAACGTTAAAGTGGTGTAATAAAAGTTGTGCCCTCATTACATCATGATCACTGAACGTGTAGAACTGCCCTGCGTGCGGCCGCAGAAAACAATCAGACTATGCATACAGCAGTTTTGTTGCCAAAGAATATTCTACTTTTTACCTTAGGCATGTTTTTTCCTATATTCATACGTTCCATTTTTAAATGGCACTTTAAGCATCAATATAGAATTAAATTTAATCAATAAACTAATTAAAGAACATTTTATGTGCTGTCTTCCCGTCTGTAATTAACCAAAAGTTTTTATCATCTTCCGTAGAAA